CGTATTTATCTCTCGATATTTCTCTCGCGGCATAATGATGCTGTCAGTCAGCTTAATAAATAATGTAATATGGTTTGAATTCGATATGCTCACCTACATATATTTTTACATTGATCACGAAATTTGATCGGTATATTACAGTATATAAGGAAAAAGCTCGCGGAGAGAGAAAAGAGATGAAAACATTTATTCTGTTTTACTAAATTATCTCAGTTATATCTATGCGAATATAAATGGGAGTAAAAAGATTAAAACTTGTCAAGTCTAATTTTGCTTTCGAAATTTTACTACTCGCTGAAAGGTACTTACTTCCGTCACCGCTCATCATAGCGCGAGTTGTGACTTTACGCGCGCAGATAGTACCCCTCGCAGGAAGCTACTCATCCTCTCCCGACGACGGAAAAGGCTGGCAACTGATAAGGCCGCGGGAGTTACGCAATATTGTGATAAAGGCGAACGTCGTCCCTCCTGTGTGGGGTGATAAACGCGACGCGGAGGCTCGTAGACGCGCGCGGCAGACGGCGGGGAGAAGGACGCTCGGCATCCCGTCGCGCGATGCGAGGAACGCTCGACGGGACATGGCGAGGCACCGGCAGGGAGGAATGCCGGTTAACGAGGATAAAGGGCATGGCGTAATGGACAGTGCGCGCTGAAATTCATGCCCGGCCATAAGAAAAATTGGACCCGCCGACGCCGCCACCGCCGCGCTTTTCCCACCGGAGAATTAATTCGTTGGAACTTATAACACGGTTCTCGCGGGGTGCGCTGTACACGGTGGCCGATAAAGCGCGGACGTCGTTAGCGGGAAGAAAGAAATTTCAAGTCGGTGGGTGTCGGGTTTCATTAATGAAGTTTTAAGATAAAGAACGTCATTGATCGCAACTTTGAAATTTTAAACGTAAAATTATCAGGGCCTTTTTCTGCCCAAGTAGAAACTGCTGAGAATTAGCTTCATAAACGTTTCATTTAAATAGTTGTTAATTAAATTACGGGGCTGGTTTATCGAGAAAAATACACATATGTCACCTTTTCGAGTTCGCGCTATATATCCGAAGATTGTGGAATTTTTAGCCGCAAAATTTTTCGCGGATTGGCGACGTCGAATGACGATAGAATTCTCTCTTTTTTTTTTTTGACAAAGTTCCCTGTATATATCGAGAGATAAAATAATATTGCGTTTTGTGTGTTACTATCTGTGGAACGATAGTGCGGAAGTTTTGACAGGTGTATCTTGCCGTGTTTATCCACGTTACCGCAAAATCCCATCGTAACGGATAAAAATCGCGCAAGCGATTTTGTAGAAGATGCGATCTCAGCACGGATTATTTTCCTTTCCGCTTCAATCCGTTGATGCACTCGGCTAAGAGCATCTTTTCTCTCTCCGTTACCGTGCAAAATCCCGCACGTGAAAAACTTTTCAGATGTATTCGCAACGTCGTATTGTACGCGTATAAAATGTTCTAGCATGTCCATCATTTTTCCCGCCGTCAGTATGGGACAGGTCGAGAACCGACGTCGCGAGCTGGCTAATAATTATCACGGTCGTTGGCCGAGCTCTCATTTTCAGAATCGTATTTTTCCGAAATGGCCGGACATATTACGCATGCAGGATTCGTGAAATAAAACCCAGCAGGCCGAATTAATCGCTCGCGATTCTACGATGGAACCAGCTGGCATTCGCGTACGTTAAATAGGTCGTTTCCAGGGACCTGAGCGTGCTACCATCCACCATGCAGCACGGTTGCAGGATCCAGATCTGCGAATCCGAAAAACCAAAAGAGAGAGAGAGAGAGAGAGACCAGGCCTCTGTTGAGTCCCTCATCCTCCTCTGCAGCCCTTTCAGCATTTCCATCCTTCTTGCTGTTCGTCTCGTTTCGTCTCTCTTTTTTTCAGTGAGCGTTGACGCAACGCCAAATTGAATTCGGCCTCGCGCGACGGTTCGTGAATAATTCTGCGAGAGCACCCGTGTGTCGTCTCTGTCAACAATAATCGGCCAGTTGTCGCGCATCTCTCTTCCCATCTTGCACGCTACCTCTTTTCGCTGTGCGCTGCAGCCGCAACTGCAACCGCCCGATGAGTATGGAAAAAAATAGACAAAAAGGGAGGGAGAAAAAGAGAGCGATGCCGCCAGTCATGGAGAGTCGGGGGTTTTTCCCTCTTATATTTTACCCGGCGCGCGCGTATCGATTTATTCATCGCGGAAATCGAGCGTAACGAGGCACAAAATGCCTCCAAACATTGGACCCTGTATCTGTCCGCGTCCAATTTTGTATTCCACCCTTTCCGCGTTCTTGCGGTCACTTCTCCCCGTCTGCTTTTTCCTTAAATAGGTTACCATCATGAACAGTTTCATCGCTCAGTACAATTTCACTCCTCCGCAAATTCGCTACTTGTCACTGTTTAAATACACCAGCTGCATTTCCCCAACACGGCAGCGTTATTATTATAGCAGCCAATTAAACGTGACGACGACGAATTTGTTATAAAATTATATTTTACCGTCCCGCTTCGCAAAGAGAATTTATTTGTCAAAAATTTCAATTTTCGAAAAAAATAGCCTTTCTGAGTAGTTCTATATACAAAAAGTTGCAATACATTTATACAATTACATCGACAATCGGTGTGATCGTATGAAGATGAATAAATAAGTTGTAAATTAATCAGAATCAATTAATGAATATCTTCTTATGTCCCTTAGCATGTTAAATAATTTTCAAAATTATTAAAACGATATCGATACTTTTTATATATTTAGAAACAATTAATTTAGGAATAAGAAGATTCATTTTGATGAATTTTGGTAGTCATTAATGATATCTGTGTTAAAATATAATTCAATATCTGTGGTAAATAAAACCAGAAAAAAAACTATTTCAATGTTTTATGTAATAAAATATATCATGATTGGTGATGATTTAAAACAGGCATATTGCATGTGACATGTGCTAACAGAAATTTTTTTTACGTATTTGACTTTCTGTTTATTTCCAGGAATATTGGCACGCATATTTCTGACACTCTGTCTCGTGAATTCTATTTTATGTTTTTTTTTTACGAGGTTTATGCCATGACCATCACACTGCTGTTTAAACATATTCACATTAAAAGATTGCATCGCGATAGAATCTCTCTGTTATTTTCTGAAACGGCTTTGTGTTATTATCACAAATGGAATATCGAACCATAATTTCCTGGCAATGCGACAGTTTATTTTCCCACCCAGCGCCTGTAAATAGGAAGAAAATGTAATGGAAGGACGCGAGACTGTTAACGGTCCGTCTTCTTCCGCAATGCAATCAGTGAAAAATAATTGCAGACAAAATCAACCGCTTACGCAGGTTCGAGTCTGTTTTAATTATCAAGCACTCACCGCTAAATCGATATTAGTGGCGTGCAATTGCTCGAATGTAAAGTTTTTTCTGCGCGTACCGTCGCTTTAATCACACACTCTCAGGTAACGATTATGTGTTTAAGTAATGCTAGCCGAAAGTAATACGTAACATTTTTTTTCTTCTTCTACGATCTATTTTAAATAAAAAAATAACGCCGGGGAGAAAAGGAGCATGAAGCTCATTATCTTGATTTTTCTAATAATACGAAAAATATATCTTTTGTATGTCTTATTATTTTATTTGATAAAAGAATTGGCATTCAATCTCATGCAACAAAATAATAAGACCACTGTGTATCGAAATTATACATAAGATATTTGGAATAGAAAGGCAATAAAACGATCAGAAAATTATAAAGTTAATTTTTCATGGAATATTTTAAAACTTTGAATGTTTTGAAACTATGATATTTATAGTATGTCTAGACATCTAGAAATTATTGGTAATTTGAAATGCTTTTTCCTGTAGATAATTATCACTGTTCACTAAGTATGGTACAAAATTATGTAATCTTATTCCGGGGGAAGGGGGGACAAAAAGTGATGGAGAATATCTGAGATTTATCGGTATTTCAGATACTTATAATTCTTGTAAAAGATGTTACGCAAGACGAGTTTTCTCTCCATCCCCTTAGTCTCGTATTTATCCTCGGGGAATTCTTTCATTTTTATACTTCTTCTCATTTCTTTGCGAACATTATATTTGAGTGTTGCAAAATTTATAATAAAAATAATATATTCGAAAGACACAACTTCATTTTGCTTATATAAAGCCATGTGTTCGTTAATTCTATGGTAGAATTACTTTATTCATGGGATACGAGATTTTATTAGCGTTCTATTAATCTTTTATATCTCGCAAAAATATCCTTCCTGTAAAAAATTTGGTGACAATTATGATAATTTCGTGGGATAGGTTATTCGACATGATTACTTAGCGTGTAATCATGATAAATGTGTAGAAAAAGAGATATTTCTCTGGGATCGATGTTAGACTTTGTACGTCTGACGTAGCGAATTAAAACTCGCGCACAATCCGACACCCTTGGCTAGGATTAAACTCTAAAAAGCATTGCGTTCTCACAAGACCGCGATTGCGTGTACATTATAGAAGGGCGCATTATAGAAAGTAATTTTGTTGTTACATGCCGGCGAAACTTCATAAAATCAGACCGGGCGCTTTTTCCATCTGGGAGCTTGCATTATTTCATTCTTTCAGTGTTTTTCGTCGTCCATTCCGCTCGTTCTCTGTACGCGATTTCGTCCACGTTATGTTTCCGCGTCTTGCTTGGCAATGGGCGTTTCGCAGACAGAGAACAGAATATATTAAATACAAAATGTTGCGTTAATGGATCTGTTATCTTCACTCTCTACGTAACGATAACGCGGCCGATATTTTTCGCAAAGAGATTCAGTTTTTTTCCACCTACACACATACTTTCGAGGAAAGATATTTTAAATTAAGGCTATGTTGCGTACACGGAACTCGCTGTATATTTTTTCTTCCGATGTATCGTGCATTATATTGTCTATTGGATATACGATGTATTGTATAATATATGCATTGTCCCCGTATCGAATTCAAAATCTGTCTGTCGTTTGATTTTAGAATACTATTTTACCCGAGGCTGTGCACTTTTGGGAACGAGCATTGATGGTGCGGGAGACGAAAAGCACCATTAGGTTGAACAGGTGAGAATTTCTTGATTATCCTACGATATTTTCTCTTTTGCAACCGATGGCGATTTTAATTTAGACAACGTTTCGCCTTTCCTGCTTACATTGAGTGCTAGTTTTTCAAATTGAATATACATTGTAATGCTTAGAGTACGACATTAAATGACGTCATTAATAAATTGTTACTATATTATTTACATTTATAGATCATATTTTTCGCTCCTCGGAAACTTTTATTTAGTAGGCAAAAAGAATAGAATATTAGTATCTTTTAGAAGACTTAGAAGGCTAAATAATTTGTAACTAGTTTTTATAAGACTTTGGGCAAGTAACTTTAGAAAAAGTTATAAACACATTAAGTCTCGGTAACAGAAGACTAATGATTGAAAAGTAGACATTTTTTTAAGACGAAAAGGTGTCGGAAATAAAAAATAGAGGAAAGATATTAACACTAGGTATAATCCGAAGACCGTTTTTTTAATTTTCACATACGTACGCGTATGGCTGCAGTCGTGGCGTTTATTTGCATAGAGACCAAGATGTTAAGCTAAAAGCGTGTGAATATGTATCGCACGTATTTGCGCGTTCGCATTACCGTTCATCTGATTTACCACTGAGAATTTACCACTGGAAACACGTACTGGCGTTATTATGGTCTTATATACGGCATTATAACGTGACATACTTGTCGTGATCCAATATGCTGCTACGATAAAATAACGGAAAAGTAATTGGTCGGCATAGCGATGAGGATTCTATTGTTTAATTAATTTCGTTAATTCTAAATTTTTCATCGAAGGTACTAAAGCGGATTAATTTTTTTATTCCCTTTATTTTGGATTTTATTATTATTTTGCAGTTTTATGAGAGTTTAGTTCTCCAAAAGTGCGAGTGCCATCTAAATTGAACTCGACATATCCAAAAATGTATAAGAGATATGAAATTTCCTATGAAAAGTTAATATATTAATATACGCGAAATCTTTTTGCAATAACGTCGGCATCGGCTGTGTTGCCAGACACATCGGAAAGAGATAAATGTTCGCTGTTCGTTCTTGACCCTTTTCCGGACGCAGTAGCCGGGCGTAGTTTGGCCGCAGATACGCTAGCAACCTAAATTAATGCATCCGTGTCCGCCGACCAGATAAATAGAACACATGGAAGTGCATGGACATAAAGTCGCGTGTACACATAACTGCATAGTTACGTGGTTTTCTGCGCTTGTAAACAAGCTCTACATTCCTCCCGTGTTTCTAACGAGGCATGACTTTTCACCGCGATGTTGGCACGTATTTCCGAAACCACGCGCGAATTGTCTCGCGTGAGCAGCCATTCGCGAAGACAGTGTAGCAACAATGAGTTTGCCGTGATTACGGATTTATGGTCCAGCATGTGGATGACTTGGTGCAAAAATGTAACTCAAGATACTAAGCTTTCTTGCATCAGTGATATCACTTTGGCCTCGTAAACGGAACAACATCCCCGTAACAGTAACTAGTGTGCGCGAATGTATCTCTGTTTATCTGTTTAATCTCTTCTGTATGACTCCCAATATCATTCGTTTATTATGTATCACTGCAACTTATAATATATTTTCTATCTATTACTATCAATATTGCAGTTATATAGCACTTATACATCTAAACTCTTTACATTTTATTCCTCTTTTTCCTCAATGTTTTTAAGTGTCTGTAATGTTCAACTAAAGTCTATGGATTCGTTCCACAGTCCAAAGGATTGTGCGGATCAATTCTCCTGCGGATATAAAAATTACGTGTATGTACATGAAACGCATAATTTCAGCCTGACAGAAGCGCTGGTATAGGCGATACTTGATAAGCGATTATTCCCCCATCTAAGCCTACGGATGTCCCGGGCAAAAAGAAGCTTCGCGCTTCCGGTATTTATTGCTGCCGCAAGCAAAGGGTGTTAAGGGTGAAAATGACGTGAGGGATGGCCACCCTCCGCGTAAGCCGCGGTCAGTGCAAACTCGATCGATCGGAATAGACGTGCGCAGCGCGGCTTTCTTTAATTTATCGTACTCAAGCGTATATTTCGTATCCTGATAGAGTGTTGACGTTCAGTGAATAAAAGAGAAGAGTTTACGAGAGATACGTAGAGGCGCAAGCCGGTTATCGGATATAATAGAGAGAAACGCGTGAAGTAAAATAAGACAAGGAGGAGAACGCGGGTTCGATTCTAGGGCACATACATCAATCTCTTGCCAACTTTCGTTCCTATTGCTGCCAATAAAAATCCAGGCGGGAACTGGTGGTAATCTTCGCGTGTCAGCTGCCTGCTCGCGAAAAACTTTGCGCGTTTATCGATCTCCTATGTATCATTATATACTAGTTCCCGTCACGGCTGCGGTGCAAACCGGAGATAAGACATTTGCTATTAAAGTATGTTCAATAGAGTTGATCGAGTAGCCACGCGAATGGAGATGTCAAATTCCGGAAGACCGAAAGCGCGAATGGCATCGTGCTAGTCGCGTACACCAAGATTTTTGACAAACGGAATGCATCTATATAAGTAAATCGGGGAAATTGCTTTAGCGGGATTAACTTTGCGCTACAATAGAAAAGGAATGTCGAACGGAGCATTGTACACAATGTGCTAGAAACGGTTTGTGTGTACATTTCTAGTAACAATAGAAATACAACGATTTCTGCCGTAACAAAGGAAGGTTGTTGAACCATGGCAAGTATCAGAAAATAATATAAGAATCAGTGAGATACGATGTCGTTGACATGGATTTTACGTTTCGTTACTTTCATGGACAATGTTGAAAATCTGTTCTCTCTTTCTTTTATTTTTTTTAAACTTTGATACAAGATTAAAGTAGTCGCAACAATTTCTCAAGCTGTTCCACCTAAAAGAAAATATGATTTTCAATCAGAGCGAGAAGCAATTTTCCATGGATATATCTTTGTTACAAAAATGTAACGATCGTTTAGATGCAAAATATTTTTATTATAAAACTTTTATTTGCGAACCATTTGAAAGATACATTACTACTAGATTTAGTTGAGAAATTGCCGCATTTTTTGTTAATTCCTGAGCTTGAATATAATTTCTGCACAATTTATAATGTATGTGGCTACAGAATTTTTATAAAATTACCTTGAAATATTTTTATAGAAAAAAAAATTAATATTATAAACACTTTTCATGAAATGTTAAGAAAATTACATTATTTATTTGCAATCCCCCTCCCTTCTTCCCGCTCCCTTTCCAAAGATTAATCGCGTCGAAATATCGTGTACAATGCATGCCGGATTATGGACGGGCAGCACATTAATTCGTGTCGGTCTTCACAAAAGGTAAATGTAATGCCTGTCGCTCAGAATGCAGAGTGAAATCGGATCAAATGAAACCTGTGCACAGGGGTGCCCACGCATACAAGCGCAGGATTGCGTCGGGCACGCGTCAAAGGAGATTCGATTTGAAAGAGAGAGAGAGCGTGAGAGTGAGGGGGAGAAGGGAGGGAGGGAGTTGCGTTTAAACGGGGCGAGCACGCGTGTAACGTTTATCGGTCGAATGCCCGCTACGATATGGTCGGTAGGGGGCAAGGATTGTGGAGGATGATTCGCGGGTCGTTTACATAACGCGATATTACGGCATAACGACTGTAACGCTTTAATGCACTTCCGGACCGTGCATTGAGTTGCCGATTGAAGATGCTTCGAGAGCCTCTTTAGCCGTTTGCATAGAAGCGGTTTAGCCTGCGTGTTCTCTCTCTCTCTCTCTCTCTCTCGTTCACTCACTCACTCACTCACTCACTTTGTGCTTTGGATCATGCGAGCAGGATCTCTATCCGTCTCTAAACAATGCACACAAATCTGAGTGTCACAGAGACCTCCGATAGAGACATTGTCCATTGTCTCTTGAAACATTGTTCGAGCTTTCGCGCTGCTTATAGCTAACTGGTTTGTATCGTATTTTCTTTCAGTTATTTCTGCATTTAGTGTGAAACGAAATATAATAAATTTTAGTGAGCTATATGTGTATAGGAAAGTCTTTTATAATTTCTGGTGATAAAATAATGAACTTTTATCGATAAATTTCTTTTTCAAAATAATGGGGCTTTTTGTTAACAACGTATATTTAAAAAATGTATATGTAAAACTATACATATACTGTCATATATGTAAAATATATTATACTTTGAATAGTTAATTTATATAAAATACATTTCGCTTTGTAAAGAATATTTATAATATCTATTGGTACAATAGAGGTAAATGAAAGAGAAAAGAATATAGTGGTGAGACCACATATTTATGTCCATCCATAAACGATGGAACAGCCGTAATAATTTTATATTTAAGGCGGCTGTATTTAGGCTAGTATCTAGGGAACCTGAATCCTAGCAGCAAGGCGTAATTACTTGGCGTCGAACATAAATCTCACGTAACGATGGAACGCGTTAACGTCCGCTAATAGCATTAATTAGAATGCCCCTGCGGGTGTACGCGCTAACGCGAATTGTATATCTTGCAATTAGGGCAATTTTTTCGGTATTTCCTACTTTTTGTGTGGCCGCGTGCTGTGCACGCTACTAATTATGCTGTCCTGATATATTATAATTTGCATTTCTAATAAAGTATATTGGACTATTAATCATTTTTTAATATGTAATATCGCTGGAAAATATAAGTCATAAATTATAAATTTTATAATTTATTTTCCATTTTATTTCTTTACACACATCCCCATATTTGTATTGACGATTCAACCGATTAACTTTCGTTTCTCTATTGTCAAGCGTAATAATTAATTAAGCCAATCAATCATGAGTCATAATTGGCAAACTATCCATAGATAATTTATTTGCCTCATTTAATCTGACAGGTGAAAATAGCATGCATGCAAGTGATATAATTTAATGTACGCATTAAATAATCAAATTGTAATAACTGAATTTGTTGTGTAATTAATAAAGGATATTGATATATTCCATTGCATAGCTTCTATATAACAAACAACCTCCGAAACTCTACATGTTCCGCGAGA